TTCCTAGGTGCAAACCACCACCATGTGCATCTCTGTGAGTCTGAGCGGCTTCGTCGTGCTGGGCTGCTTGTTCGCGCCCAAGGTGCACATCATCCTCTTCCAGCCCCAGAAGAACGTGGTCACTCATAGGCTCCATCTCAACAGGTTCAGTGTCAGTGGGACCGGGACCAACTACTCCCAGTGTAAGTAACAAAACTGCAGCTTTTTCATAAGGATATGGGTTTGCAGTGAGTTTGGGTAAAAACAAAATGATATTTTCACCAGCAAAAAGACCTTTATAGGCTCAACAATGTACCCCATGGAAGCATCACTTTGATTGTTTCTAGAGAGTAAAACTCTTCTCTCTCCCATGGGAATCAGCTCAGAGCCTGCTCTGAAGCTCACCGAAGTCAACAGAAAGCTTTGGCCGGGCTCTGACTCCAGCCCAATGCACAAAGCAAGTAGAGCCTGTCGCTTGCTCTCACTCGCGCAGCAGGGACAAGAACAGATAGCCCTGGAGTATTCCTGTCTTAAAGACAGGCCAACAGGACCTGGGCCACACGCAGTGTGCTCTCAAAGGCTGCTATCATACGCATTATAAGACAAGGCTCCAAGTCTGCAGTGAACACATACAAGGGATGCCATAAACTGTATCTGTGTTGTAAGTGCCACAGCAGGAGAAGCAATACTGGTTGCTCTGCCTCTCTCCTTTCCTTCAGATTTAGTCTCTTCAGCCTAAGCAAATTCACATCTATGATCTTGTTTTGAGGCTGTGTGAGATGCGCAGAGATTTTTTTTTTATTTGAAAAGAAAAAAAAAGTATCTCCTGTATGCTTGCTGGTTTTGGAGTTCTTCCTGTCAAGCTTAACTAGTCAAGGATGGGAGCACAGAGTACCTTGGTTACAGAGCTCTGTGGACAGCAAGTCTAAACTGGAAAAATAATTGAAAAAGCACACTACAGCTCTAAAGTGGCAAGGAGTAAGAAACAGAGGAAAGGGGGGACACAGAGCAAGGCTTCCTTGGAACTTCACACTAACCTAGCCTCAGGCTTTTGAGTACCACCTAAATTTCAAAATTGGCTTGAAACCTTTGGCACTTCAGATTTCAAACTAAATGTAGAGGGAACTTGGGACTGTGCTGTGTATCACATTGACAGGGATTAGGAGGAAAAGGGGTTCCAGCCATCTCTGGCTCTCCCACCTCAAATGGTACCATGCATCAATGCCCAGAGTCCCTTAAAAAGACATCAGCCATGTGAGTATACATGTCCCCCATGTCAGCAGAGTTGAGACTGCATCCAGCCCTGACACAAGAAACCAAAACTCCTTGCTATTTTGGAAAACTTAAAGCAAAAGAGATGAGGAAGCCCTAAGTGCCCAAAGTGCACTCTCAAAAGCCCAATGGATTTCAATAACCTTTAGAAGTTTGGTCATTTGATGAAATGTTGAGTCCCTTGAGATTATTTTCATTACTTATGAATTTTGTTTAAGTTGCCTTTCCAAGTTTTTTAATTCTCCCATACCATGGAATAAACTTAGGCAGGAACCATTTTGATTCACGGATACTTTTGTACAGGATTGCACTTTTTAATTTGGTATTTTATTATAAATACTGGATAATGCATGTGTGTACACAGGCATGTATGTAACTGAAGGATACCCTCAATGCACATCTTTACATTAAAACCTACCTTTTAGCTTTAAGACATTAAGTGTAAAAATACATACTTATAATCTCTTGCTGCTACACTGTTTAGAAAGGTGGCTGCAGTTACTTACTTTTACTGCTTACACTTCACTGAGCAATGACTGCTTGTTTTTGTTGGTCTTTCTGGACTATGGCAAGATATGGTCCTGGAAGTAGGACTAAGATATCCACAACACACAGAGGAAAAAGCCCTATTTTTTTCCATCTAGGTCAATAATTTAGGAAAATAACACTGGGAATTCACTTTCTATCACAGTGCCAATATTTTTATGAAGGAAAATTTTCCCTTACTGCTTTCCATTTATTTGTAAATTATTTTAAATACTTTTTCTTTTTTTCTATTCTTAATTGTTTAGTCATTTGTAAACCTCTAAAAAGGTTGTCATCCAAACTGATTCTAATCCATGTCTAAAATATTCCTCTTATCAGTCCTGGGGCTGCCAGCTTGTTTTTATTTTGGTCTCGATAGAGTTATCATCAGTCAGAAACTGATATGAGACTGATCAAAATTAGCTCCAGGGCATCCTAGTAACAACATCTAAAAAGCCAGTTCTTGTTCATAATCAGAGCTTTAGAGGACAGGAATACCCAAGGTGCTCGAATGGGCAGTGTGCTTCCTACCTCCATGGATTCCAGCCTCCATAGCATCTCAGGGCTGCCACCACTTCTTCACTCCATCAGTCATTAATGCCATGAGCATAGCAGGTCATGAACAGTGAGCGACTCTCACACGGTTTTTAACACAGTTCCCTGAACCATGAGAACTGGTCAAGCACTATGAAAAAAAAGTGACACCCGTGATGCTCTTGGGCAGCGTTAAGTGTTAGCTCCAAACACATATCACAGTAAAAGCAGTGGAGCAAGGGCCAGAGTCAGTGGTCGGCTGCACAAGCTGCAGTGTGGTGATGGTCCTGAGAGATGAGCTGAGCACCTCACGTGCTTATCTGAACACAGCTCCTCTTCTTTGTTACATGCTCTGCAGAAAGCAAGTAGGGGTGAACGATTGACTGCTAAGGAGACATCTTTTAGAGGCATGGAGCTTTAATCATTTTCGTAGCTGAAGATGTTGATCCGAGCTGAGGAGAGGCAGGATATAGGTGCACTTAGGTGTGTGACGTGCCTGAAATATATCTGTACACATTTATTTGAATCTGGGAATTCATGTTTGGCAGACTGCCTAAGTTCTACTTCCCCTGCAGTGTTCCTACTGTTGGAATGTTCCCCAGTTTTCCCGTGGCCTCTTTTGTGGGCTTGGCAGAGATAGTTCCCTAAGGTAGGAGGTCAGCATTCATAAAACCTCCCAGAGAGCTTGACTGATTTACGCACCTACATGATTCAGGTGGCACTTTTACACCCAGAAGGTGTCATTCATCCAAGTTATGCCCACATGGAGAGTTGCACACAGATGTGTGCCCCTTCAGTTGTCATCCACAGGGGCAGAAAAAGGATTGAAGCTGCCCTTTATAGCCAGGTTGATGAATTTTCAAAGAATTTATTTTTCCAGTCCTTGCTCCAAACTAGTCTTGATATATGGCATTTATATATAGCATTTATTGTGATGTTCCTGACTGTGTAGGCATGCTGTAAGGTGCCCACAGCAATGCTGGGCTCTTGCATGTTACCTCTGGTTCTTTGCTTTGCATTACCAAAGCAAAATGAAGGACTGCCAGGAAAGAGGACATCAAAAGCATAAATTGCAGCCAAATCAAGACTTCTGATCATGCCACACGTGTTTGTCTTGGCCTCAGCACATGGCAAAATGGACCTGAAGTGTCTCTAGCAGATCCAGCAATATCTTAGGAACCCCTTTGGCTGCTGCTGTAAGACATGGCATGAAACCCAGAACCCTGCAGGGGCAAAGACTAACATTGCTGAGGTCTG